TGTCTTCTCTTGCCATTTATTTGGTGGAGAAAGCTTCTTCTGTAATCTTTCCCAAGTATTTCCTGCTACTAATTTACTATAGCCATAATTTCAATCCCTGTCAGCTCCAGAGCATCCTAAGGCTCTTGCCTAAAGCTTACAAGACCTGCAGCCAATCTGGGGGTGTGGTTACATGGGGAAATAAACTACAATTTGGACCTCTTGCAAAGCAGTCTGGTACGATCTTTTTCCCAGGGAATCACATGATGTACGGGAAAATGTTCTCCAGCCTGACCCTGATCCATGCCAAAGCTGGATCTTTCTGGTCCAGCTGTAGGGCTTCTACTTTTGGGGATCAGGCTGGAGAGACCCCCCAGCAGGAGGAAGGGGTCCCCTTAAGCAAGATTACTCCCATGCAAGTGACCCTTTCTGGTACGCTCGGGTATGTGTCTTTGCAGCCGTCAGATTGTACTCTTAGTGCTAACAGTACTGCATAGGGTGGCCTATGGTCTAACCTGGTAATGAACAGGTTTCTATGTTCCATAACATACGGGGTGGGGGGGAGGAGATAGAGAAAAATAGGGCTGGAACATAGTTGATATCACAAAAAAATTACAGGGGACAAAGTGGGATTTCATGACATTCTCCTTACTTAACATTCCCAAGTTTACTTACAATGGCTTCTTTATCTTCTATTCTATTCTATTGCTGTATAACATTTTGAAAAAAAGCTGGCAACATTAAAGGGGGGGAAGAAAAAGACAGAAAAGAAGGAGAAAAAGAACTGCAAAATACTGTGGTACTTTAGGGTCCAACATATTTATTTCAGTGTGAGATTTTGTGGATCAAGTTCTACTTTTTCAGGTGCCAATCCACTTATTTTAAACCCTTTCTTTTCCCTCTTTGATTTTACCAACATGCTGAGATATGGCTATTGCAGAAGAGTAACCCTTCCCCCCCCCAAAAAATGGACAATTCTGTTTATTGTGTGAAATTTTTTCTCCCATCCCATGTTGTTTGAGTTCAGTCCTATCAGAAGGTATACATCTGATAAATATCTTCGGAAGTTTGTCTTTATGCCCATCTCAGGTCTCTGAAATGGTAAGAGCTAGAAACATAAATTTATGTGGATACCACTGTTTCCCCAGCTTGTTGGCTATATTTCAAAATCTACTCCCTCAGAATCCCAGTGGGGCCCAATGACAATTAGCTTTTAGAAGTGTCTGATCACAGGCATTTGCTGGGCTCTTTTCTAAAGCAAACTTTTGTTGGAGATTAGGTAGTTATAAATATCTTATATTTTCTTAAAATGCGAACATGTATTTGTTTATTCCCAGATATCACCAAAACAGTAATAGCTAGAAACAAAGTTGCCTGGGTATTAATGATTTCTCAACTTAAATATTGGCTATATCAAAAACTTTTTCCCCAGGGTCCTGGTTTGGCCTGCCGATAATTAACTCTTTGGAGCATTATGTGATGTGTATGTCACATTCTAAGTATGCCACATAACCTGTCACAGTGAGATCTTTTCCCTCTCACTAAGCAGTTCATCTGATGTCTATTAGGCTACTGCCAATGCTTTTTCTGTTATTCTACAGTGATGTTATTGTAATCATGGTTTGAAATAATTGGCCTGAGTGATCAAAAACTATGGAGCCAAACAAGAAACAAATAGTCATGCACGCATGCATGCATGCATGTCCTTAGATACAATTTAGATGGGAAAGACTGTTATTTAAATTGTAATCATTGGATGAATGTCTTTCTGGAGTTTATGTCCCCAGACCTCTAAATAGGGAGCTGCAATTCCACAGGAGTGAAAAATACTGAGGTGAATGAGTTCTGGGTTGGAGGAAGAAAAAGCCCAGTATCATTTTTTTTAAGAAAAAGGTTGGATGGGGAAAGGAAGAGAGAGCACTAGGAAAAGGTGAAACAAATAAGCCTCAAACTGGACACAGTCAGGTATATTTGCTTATAATTTCTGTTCTTTACAGTGTAGTGGGATGTCTCATGGTGGTATCTTAGCAGTCACTAATGAAAACCACATCCCATTTTAAAATCACATCATCTCTTGAAACCAGTCGTTCTAAAGATTTGATAATGATTTGCCTTCAAATAATCTCCAACAGCAACTCTTCTCAGAATTTTCTAGGTATAAGATGCTCAGAAATGCTTTACCAATCTCACATACTGATGGCGCTCTAGGACAACGCAGTCTGTAAGCACTCTGCTAACTCTCATGCAATAGAATCATAGAACAACTGAATATGAAGGGGCTATAAGGTCATTGAGTCAACCCCCTGCTCAATGCAGGAATCCAGATCAAAGCAGATCTGACAGATGTTTGCCCAATTTTCTCTTGAATGCCTCCAGAGTTGGAGCACTCACCAGCTCCTAAGATAATTGGTTCCATGATTGCACTGCTCTAACTATTAAGAAGTTTTTCTTGATATTCAGCCTATATCTGGCTTCCTGTACCTTAAGCCCATTATTACATGTCCTGCACTCTGGGATGACCAAGATCAGATCCTGCCCCTCCTTTGTATACTACCTTTCAATTATTTGAAAAGTGCTGTCATATCTCCCCTCAGTCTTCTTTTCTCAAGGCTAATCATGCCCAGTTCTTTCAGTCTTTACTCATAGAGACTTACAATCACTAATATTGCATTGAGGTTTTTAAAATAATATAAATATTAATAAATATCAGTAAGTAATCACTACTGTATGGAAGGGAATGTGCAAATCCAGATTCTATGCTGCTTTTCAGGTTCATTGATCACATTGGACAATTTGTTTCACTTTTTGAGAACATCCTCATAAATCCTCACCAAATGTTTTCAAAATGTTGTATTTCACCATTATTTATCTTACAATATGCACTGTGTATCTTGTTTTCCATGGTTTTTTAAAACTCTAATTGTGCACCTATGTGATGCTCAGAAAATAACGCAAAGAAATATAGTAACCCTCCATGAGACATTTGCTTTGGCCTTTCATTTATACAAATGCCAGCTAAGACTTTCGATGAAATATTTCATCAAAATATTGTAATATTAATATCATCAAAATAGTAATGCTGTAGAAATATTGGTTCTAGGGAGTCTTCAGAAATTCAATTTGTGATGTTATATCTGTGATTGTTCACTCTCACATACAAGTCATTGCTGAATTTTGTGTTCATCAATGTGCCATGTTTGGGGCAGGGGTGGGGGAGAGACTTAAATTATCCATGGGATAAATAAGCCCAAGATAGAGATCTGGATAGTCAGTAAATAGGCCATATATCCTATTCATTCAAGAAGGAAGTGTATGGAGCCTACACACATGGTAGACTATCGTTACATATTTTTGTGTTTAACACAAGGACAGGGAAGAAAAACAAACTGACAGGGGAATAGTCCCTTAATTACTGAATACAGCTTTAGTGAGTTAAGTCTTTCTTGAAGAAGCAAGTTTGGAAGCACTCTCCAAGTAACTCAGACATCAAACAGCTGTTCAGTACGACAAAGTGCAAATTAGCCATATTTTGTTCTCAACCTACATGTGCTTGTGGAGGTGAACCTTTGCTTTCCACAACCATGAAGAAAAAGCTCATCCTTAGTGTGGAGCCTCAGACACTCAGAACTCAGCTGGAAGCCTCACAGATCTGTGCCTATCTCCCAGGCTCAGCAAAGCATCAGGGACATATCCTGCCAGCTTTCTTGTCCTTCTGTAGTCAGTGTGGCATCAGGAATCCTCATGTTTCTGCAGGCAAGAAAGAAGGGAATGTCTTGCTCTCACTGGGGGGGGGATATTTATGGGATTACATGAATTAAAGCATGTATAGGAATTCAGGTGGCAGTAGCTAAACAATATCAGCAACAGATAAGAAGTAATAGAGATCAGGAAATAAATGACATGACCAGATTCTTGAGTCAAGGGTAAAGAAGGTGGCTTGTGGAAGTAGTGGGAGGAAGAAAGAGGTTGACAAAATGAAATACATGAAAGGGGGGGGACCCAAAGGGAGAGGATATCATGAGGAAAGGGAAATGATGAAATGATACGATGGAGAAAGACGGCAATATATTGCAGCCATAAAGAGGGAAAGAGACAGGCAATGTGTTATTTGGAGGTCTGTTCAAATCATGGTTTAACAACAGGATCATACTTCTCCCACCGTGTTGTCACACCAAGGACTTGACAGTTTTCCTATCTGGGACCTTATAAAATGGGGTTTTGTACTTTTGTGTCCACACATGTCCCAAGACTCAATACACGGATTCAGCATGCTGAGTCACAAATTGTGCACAGCCCCTTAAATAGCACAGGCATTTGATCACTGATTTGGTAGGACTTAAGCAGTACTTAGCTGTTTAATTGATGTACCTTCATTTTTATTTTATTTATACAAAGTAATGGCTATGAATTTTACAATGGAGAAGTAAGATAGAACAATTCATTTAATATTCTCTGATCTGGAAGCACTTGCCTTGGGCCCAGTGATTTGCCAGAAGTTACACAATGTCCAATGAAAAAACACTCTATACATGTTCAAAGGCACTTCCCTTTATTTTTAATTCATATGTTTAGATTCTAAGGCTAGGTCCAGGTGGACCCAGGGAAAAAACTAAACCCAGGATATACAGAGAATGTACATACTCACAGGACTGACCAGGAATGAGTTTTTCCTTGAAATATATAAATGCTAAATTGAAAGAAGCATACTGGCCAATAGGTGCTGCATGATCTTAATGTGGACATGGTTTCACTGAGAGATAGGTGAGGTCATTGCACTGTCATAACAAGCATTTCCACATAGGAAGCACCTTAAGCAAATCGGGGCGAATCTGCAGATCGCTTCCACCAGATCGATTCCTTGCAGCAAATTTCCAGTCTCTTGTATGCAAAATTGTTTTATTAATTATAGAAAGGGATTGCTAATTAACATAATGCTGGGTTCTGAAAACACAAGGCAGAGTTGCAAAGGAGGCAGTTTTTCTGTTTTTTTTTAAAAAAGGAAAGGAAAGATTTGATTTTCCCAAAGCCTTGTGCCCTTGACAGATCATTTTTATACAAACTAAGCTCATTAAAGTTTCAGTATTCATTGGTCTCAGCAACTTGATGTGGAATCCTTTTGGCTTAGAATCCATCTTGTATTTTTTTAGCCCAAAGGCAAGCTGTAGCTGAAAATATATGGATCTGTATTCATTGCTCGATTACCTTTTGTGTCTTTTGATATCATTCAAGTGCCTGCATCATTCCCATTTTAATTCTGGCTGCTGTTGCCATAAGGTAGAAACTTATTGATTAATCATAAAAGCTGAAGACAGGGATATTACATAGAAACAAAACTAATGTGAGAAGGGAGAAGGATTTTACCAGAGAAGATGATAGAAATAAAAAAAGCAAGATTAATTATCACAAACATCCCTGCTATAAATGATTTTGCATCATCTTTAATCTTCTATTCTATGCATCTACATAGACGTTATTGCATTATATAATGAGTATATTGCTGATACCTGGGGCCGGATTCATGTTTCACTTAGAGCAGTTTTATAGCTTAAGAATTCCATTATAGAAGCACCCCAGCAGCTGTAAATTTACAAGCCTCCATTGGCTTCAGTAAAGTTATGCTGATCTACCCCTGTTGAGTATCTCATCCACTGGAAATATTTCTAATTTACAATGCTGTGAGGTGTGGATTGTTCCCTTTGTATATTAAGCAGCAGTTATGTATGAGATATTTTTAAAATTGCACATCAAATGTATCATGCAGCATATTATGCTGTAAATGTATAGACTGAAGCAGTTATAATGTAAGAGTTGTAGTTACTGGGAGAACTTGGATGTGCTGGGCCTACATCTTAAGACTATGATGTTTCCATACATCCATCTGCAAGGCTGCCCATCTAGAAACAAAGACTATAACTTGTACTTGTAGATAAAAAAGTGATTCCTGAGGAAGACTAACTCCTTAAGGGCCATGGCTCTTTCAGACATGGGCTGGTATGCTAGAAATGCACATTGAGTCAGTGTATGGATAATTCAGTACATGCTGATGCAGTTGATTTGAAATATTAATAATTTTGGGGACTACAACTCCACTAGTTTTGTAACTGGCATGTCACTGGTGATACTAGTCTGGAATTATGATTTCTGAGTGATACAATTATGGGAGACCACATCCAGCTCAAAATTTAAGTCACATTTACTACATCCACCAGTCAGTAAGCATGCTATGTTAGACACCTGAAAATTGTCTCCACAATTATATCCCAGTAGTGGGGCTTGGGGTGAAAAGCCAGAGTGAATGGTTAGCAGCAGAGGACTGAAAGTGAGGGACAGAATATAGTGGATCATGAGTGGAAACTGAAAGGCTACAGAGTGTGTTGGCCTTCCAAAAAAAAAAAAAAAAAAAAGTTTGCAGCAAGTTTGCCTGCTTCCAGAAATGCTATAAATTTAAGAATAGCACACTGAAATGTTGATAAAACAAAACTCATGTCTGTGTCAGGATGTACTGAACGTTGCATCAATCTATTTAATCTTCAGTCCCGTCACACCAATTTCACCAAACAAAGTGGATTTAGTATGGTTTTTGGTACTCTAATGGAAGCTTCTTGAGCCAAGCTTTAGCATTAACGATAGAGAAAATAAAAGAAGCAAAGTGCTTTTAAAGTCTGCATTCCTAAATGGAAGACGTGAATACATGTACATTATCTGAAAGTGCTATTCAAAGATATTACAAACTGGAGAGGATACAGAGAGGAACTGTAAAAATGTCTGGAGACTTATAATGGGTCTTAAAAGAGTCATTGTTTGTTTCAAACAAAATATTTGATTAAGCCTTGTAGAATATGGGATATTTGTCACGAAACAAATGGCTCTTCTACACTGCAGAGGAAAGCATCACCAGAGCCAATGGCTACATTGTTGGATACATTCTTACTAGAAATAAGGCACATTTAATAAAAATAGAACCCATTTCCAAGGCATCGAGTGATTTCTCTTCATAGTTGGTTGTCTTCCAATAAAGATTAAATCTTCACAACACCCAAGCTAACCTTGGGGTCACCTAACATCAATCACGGTTGTGCAGTGTATACTCCTTGAATTTATGAACCATGAACAGACAAGTCATAGCTTAAAAACGAACTTAAATTGCATACATTAGGTGTGTAGCTTTATCAATCAGGTGTCTTGGTATATGTTTGTAGGTGAAGCAGTAGTGGCAGCAGATTAAGCTTCCATGTGCTTTAAAGAAAAGTGTGTGACTGTTGCCATTTCATCTACAAACACTGAACAATCATTTTCTGTGCACTTAAGCAATGATCTGATGATTATTAAACAATAACTCCAGAGCCAACAAAACTGGTCCATTTTAATGAATATTTGTTCACTGAATTTGGAACCTGTTAAAAAGAGTTGTTGGGAAGAACAATTAATTGGTACAAATGTTAAGTGCAAATTCTCTGGATTTTTTTTCTTCTTCTTTTACTTTAAAGCATTTTGTTCAAAGTATACAACGCATGTGCACAATACAAAGTCCATATGGTTTTCCTCTGTGACAATAAAAAGTGTAGTTTTGTTATAAATGGGAGTAAAAATTAAAATGGAAAAGAGAGGTCACAGTTTTGTCATTGGTATGTGAAGGTTGTTCCAAGGACCCATCCAGAGTTCCTCATCGTCAGACTGTGTATGATCGCTGGGTAGTTCCAAAGGCTCTTTGTTGTCCTCGTTATCAATAATGGACTCTTGCTCTTCTGTGCTTTTCAATCTGTTGCCCCCTGATTTTGTCATTTTGTTGTCACTGTCTATTGTAGAGGATGCAAAGGATACACTACATGGCCTTATGTTTGCTTTGTCACTAGATGATGCCCCTGTTGAAAACGTGTTCAGTGGGACATTCTCTTCATGTGTCACTGCTAACTTGTCAAGTTTCTTGAAATGTTTCCCCAGCCGCACAGGGGACACAACCTTTAAATTGTTTGAAAGGCAGCTTCGCCGGGTTCTTATAACTGACCCGTTCTGAGCAATGTAGATGTTGCCATTGATATTAGTTTGAATATTGGGGTTGCTGAGGCGATTCCTCTGGCTCTCGGGAGCACTATCCTCTGCAGTGGAGCTGGTCTCATACTCTGGATCAACCACCAGCTTGATTCTTTTCTTTCTTGCCCACTGTGACACAACAAGAAAAGAGAAAAATTCTTTAACAAACAGTAATTTGCTATTTTTTCTTAATGCAGGCCATTGGCAGCTTCTTCATTCCATGAAAAAAACAAGACCAGGTAAATGAGATTTATGAGAGATATGTTTCATAGTAGCTTTAAAAATTATTTGATAGATGCTTACCTCCATGGTCTGGTACAGAATTTACTTCAAGCTATATCCATGACAATTGCCATTTGCGACAAAACTGAACCATCACAATGAACACACTATAAATGCAGGCATATGAACTGACCTTAGATAGCAACAGGGTCGATATGTATGGCCATAGTGTAAATATTTGGATAATTATTATCATGTCCTTCTGTAACTCATTATTTAAAGCACTGTGTAGGAATGTCAGAACATTTTTGTTCTTGCTCATTATAGCCAAAAATGGTATTTTGGAGCTCAACAATCTTAATTTTTAAGGCAGGTGTGTGGTAACAATATTGTGATTATGAATAAATACCACATGAAACTATCCTAATGCAATGATTTACATAGAACTACTCAGATGTGTACAATAACATCATCATTAATTTATAACAGAATTACACAAACCTAAAATTTGGAATCCAGTAGCCAAAGATTATAGTAACCAGGACTACATAATTATTCATTAGTACTATAATTAGCATTTCCCAAATCTGAATAATGAGCTGTATAATTTAATAAAAAATTAATAGCCAATATCCTGAGCTTCTGTGCAAAAAGTCATACCAGCAGGACTGTGCCACTTACACAACTGTTGCTGTTGCATATGCAGTGATTTCCATGAAGAAAACGTGCCACCCCTACAGGACAGCACTGCTTGCACAAGTAATGCAATCTCCTGTTTTCCACTCAGCAGAGACTCAGTTGGCTACTAGCCCATGAGTTTATTTGAGGACTAGTTTTCACTCTAATGAATAAAACTTGCAGTGACATTAGGCAGCAATGAAGGTATGTTTTAACTGTTCAGTGAAACATTGTTTTTAAACAGAGTTGCTTTCTAAGGCACAGAGATGTTGTCTGAAAATGCAGACCATGCACACTCCCAGGAATGTTTAAACACACAGCTAGCTCACACATGCCTGCATTAATTTCATAACTGGGTGGGAGAAGGCAGAGCACCTTCTCCCACCCGGTTCTGCCAGAGTCACTCATTCTAGCCAGGCTTGGCGGCTGAGGGGCCTAACGCCGAGGGAGGTCCAGAAGGAAAGAATGAGGAACCGGGCTCCCTCTCTGCCTGTCTTCTGAGGCAAACTGAAGACCTGGCTATTTGGGCAGGCTTTCCCTCCTGCTGCATCTTAAATTCACATCTTACCATCTTGGATCTATAGTGCATGTTTATTGGTTTAACTGTTTTTAAATTTGTAATGCCGCCCAGAATAGACCTTTGGTCTAGATGGGCGGGGTAGAAATCCAATAAAATAAATAAATAAAATAAAATAACTGCAACACCAAATGTTAACATTGTTTGTGTGCATTAACCCTCACAGATCAAACACATTGGCTCCCAGCATTTCAAACACAATCCTATTAACTAGAGTTCATAATCACCTGATTCAGGGTGTGACTACATGACAAGAAAAATGGGAATAGAGCCATTGTGAAGTCACATCTGGGAAGCTGGGTTTCCCCAGGTAAATTTGCATTAACTGGTCACACAGGAAGAGCACAGAAAATTGAGAGAAAGCCTTGTTTGTAGCTTGTTAACATTGCTCTCTAGTAGTCCTCCTGGTTTGCAGGTGGCACTCTCTCTCTCTCTCTCTCTCTCTCTCTCTGTGTGTGTGTGTTTGTGTGTTTGTGTCTTGGTGTCTAGGTGCCCTAGCACAACAGTGTGGGCACCAAACCCTTAAAAAAGAGAAAAGAAATAGCATTGTTTGCTTAGATCCAGAATCCCCAGTGTTTTAATATTCAGTGCTGGGCCATCATGTCAACCACCGGCACTTCTGCACACACTTTTCTGTATTGGTTCAAGTGATCACACTGCCTGAACCAATGCAAATGGATCCACTGGCAAAAAAGTAGAACCAATGGACATTTAGTCCAGTCCAACTAGGGCGCAGTGCTCATCCCCGTCTACAAGCCATAGATCCCGTGTTTATCCAAAGAGTTTCCATGGTCATGTGGCCAGCATGACTAGATATGGGACGCTGTTACCTTCCCACTGTGGTGGTATCTATTTATCTACTCATATTTTTACATGCTTTTGAACTGTTAGGTTGGCAGGAGCTGGGACAAGACATGGGAGCTCACTCTGTTGCGTTGTTTCAATCTTACAACTGCTGGTCTTCTGACCTTGCAGCACAGAGGCTTCTGCAATTTAACCCACAGCGAATACAGTTACATACATTTAAATCTAACCATCTGAGCCCATACTGTGCTTCTCTGTACCACTGCTCCAACTGTATTTATATGCATCCAAAACCACTCAGATAGCTGTATGTACTTGTGTTTTGCACAATGCTTATTTCAAAGGGGAATAAACATTTACCAGACTGGGCCCATCTTGCATTTTATGATAAAACTGACATAATGTTTATTCCCTCATTTCACACACAAAACAAGACAGAGGGCACAGCAAACCAAAATCACACTTTACTTGCAAACTCTCTACCTACTGTTCTACTTGTTACTCAAAAGGAGGTGGAGTCACTAGGATTTTCTGACTCTGCAGTGCCTGGAACTTTTTTTAAACCAGTAATGGTTTGTTTGCTGGACTGTGCACGCACTTTTGTATTTACACCCTCCCCTTTCGTGACAGCCTCAGAGCTTTCAGTGGATATCCTCTCTCCTTCACTGGCATCCGGATCAATATCCCTTTCACTGCTCCCACTCTGCTTGTTCGAGGCATTTCCTTCATTTGTGAAAGACTCTTCCTCCTCTGTCTCTTCCTCCTCTTCCGCTTGTTCTGGTTCTTCTTCATCTTCTTCCACAGCCGACGATGGCTCTTTTCCTGATAATTCTGCTATTGTGTCATCTAATTCACTTCCAGTGGTAGATGACAGGTTCTTGACAGCAGACCTGGGCCTCTTGTTTTTTCCTGACCTAGAGGTGACTTCACGACTGGTGGAACTTTGCATGGATGATGATATTTTTGACTCTGTGTCATCTGCCTCAGTGTCAGATCCCTTACTCCGAGTATCTGATGTTTCATCTTCTGAGCTGCTGCTTGATGTGGAGCTAGATGAATCCGAATGTTCCTCATCTGAGTCGACCGTGCTTTCTGTGGCTTCATCCTGGTCCAGAGTCACTTTCAAGTAATCTTTTTCTGACTTGGAAGCAGAAGTACTAGTTACTGATGATGATGAGGAGGAGGAGGAGGAAGATGAAGATGAGGAGGATGAGGATGACTCCTCACTTGAGGAAGATGACTTTCTTCTCTTCCTCTTGCCATAGTCACTCTCTTCAGACTCACTTTCTGCTGTTACACTAATTGAAATGCCAGACTTTGATTCTGATTCGCTCATCTCCTCAGAGGGACCACCTGCCCGGATTTTCTTGGAAGCACTTGGACGTTTCAATGCACGTCTAGCCTTCTTTGTTGATGGCACGTCACCTGTTGTTTTCTGGAAATAGCTTCCCTTAATAACCATGCTTTCTTCTCCATCCACATGCCGAGCCTCCATCAGCTCAGCATAATCTGAGTCTTTGCCTTTTACCTTCTGTAGCATCATTGGGAATATCTTTGCTTTTTTCCAAGGTGATGGTGTTGTCTCAGCTGTTCCTTGCCGGTGAGCACTAACTGCTATTCGGCTCAGCTGCATCACTGCTCTTAGTTTCCTTCTTCCCTGGCTGGGGCCTATAGCCTTCCCTTCACCTATAGCACTAATAGCTACTCGAGCCCCTGCTCTCTGGCTTACAGGAATTTGACTTGCCCCCTGTGAATTATAAAAAAGGAACCACATTAAAGATAACATGCAAAGTATTTTACCCTAGTGACTTGGAGCAAGACAAATTTAATGACATGCTAGATTGATCTAGACCCAAAATACAGAAGTATACAAGTCATCTACAAATCATTGCTGGAATTGCAGAGACACTATGAGACTAAAGGGGACTCTTACACTAAACTTCAGTTTGCAGCCCCAGTTGTTCGGGATTTCCCTTCTTTGTACCACTCCATCCTGCAACCACAGTGGCAACTGCCATTTCTGTCATCAAGGATTTGTATTATATGCAGTATTATGAGTAGCTGTGCACATATAGCATACTGGTATTTAAAAAAATAGAAACACAAGCTTTTGACCAGCTCTGTATAGTTTGCAGTGGATGGCAGAGATAGTATAATGGAGGAATAACTTGGAACTTCTATCTATATTTTTATGAGACCATCCTGATAATTTATACAAGATGAAAGGCACCATTTAGGCCAGTGTTTCTCAACTTGGGGGTTGCAATTCTCAAGGGAGCAGCAAAGTATTTTCTGGAGTGTTGTGGGCTTCCTTATATGTGTTGTAGCCATTGTTAAATAATTTCTTCCTTGACCTTTGGAGAGGGATATTAAAGTTAGGGTGTACGTGTATGTATGAGAAACAGAGCCTTTGGGGGAGAAAGAAGCCTTTACTTTCTCAGAAGGGATGACGTTACTCCATTAAAATGCCTTTTAATACAAATGTGCTGGTGGGGGTCACAGGTTACTTAGCTATATAAAAGGGGGTCATGACTCAAAAATGTTGGGAACTACTGATTTAGGAACTAGTTATAGGATTAATGGCATATTTGAAAAGTGCAGTCAAGGTTTCTTATATATTCTGGCCACTAGAGGATGCTACAAAGGATGACGTTACCCCATTAAAATGCCTTTTAATACAAATGTGCTGGTGGGGGTCACAGGTTACTTAGCTATATAAAAGGGGGTCATGACTCAAAAATGTTGGGAACTACTGATTTAGGAACTAGTTATAGGATTAATGGCATATTTGAAAAGTGCAGTCAAGGTTTCTTATATATTCTGGCCACTAGAGGATGCTACAATTCCAAAAATGAGTAACAGATGTAAAAGAAACATTTGCAAAAGCTTCTTCTTTAGACTGGTCATAAGAATTAGAGCTTTGATCACTGAAATGCAACTGAAATGCATAGTCAAGCTCAAATAAATTGCCTGAATTGTTTACTCATCACACCAACACCGATCATCTTGAGGAAGTACAGGAAGCAATCGTATATTTCTACTGTTTGGTGCATCGCCAAACAACAAAGAAGTTTTTTATTTCCAGCAACACCCACACTGTGTATGGCTAGCATATATTTCTACTGTTTGGTGCATCTCCCAAACAACAAAGAAGTTTTTTTATTTCCAGCAACACCCACACTGTGTTGTCAACATATCAACAAGCTTCTATCATGCCACAAAATCCAGTCCAATCTCTGTAGCTCCCAGAGCAAAGAACGTCACTGAATGATGAGGTAGTGAATACATCTCAAAACACTGTGAGATCACTTGTATCTGTCTACCATCTCTAAGGGAAGAGATAGCCCATGAGGCCTCTATCAGGTATGGACAATTGTGGAATTCCAGACATTTTTGGATTATGCCCTGTTTTCCCGAAAATAAAACCTAACTCTAGACATTTTTGGATTATGCCCTGTTTCCCCGAAAATAAGACCTAATCTGAAAATAAGCCCTAGTATAATTTTTCAGGATGCTCGTAATATAAGCCGTACCCAAAAAATAAGCCCCAGTTAAGTGAAACCCCACCCTCCACCATCGCGCAGCTACCAGAAGAAGATGACATGACTGTATTTGAATACATGTAGATTGTTGTACATGAAAAAAATAAAACATCCCCTGAAAATAAGCCCTAATGCATTTTTGGAGTAAAAAGTAATATAAGACCCTGTCATGTTTTCGGGGAAACACAGTTACCTCCAGGAGTCTTAACTAGCACAGCTAAAAGTAAAGGATTATGACAGTTTTTGCCTCCAGGAGTCTTAACTAGCCCTGCTAAAAGTAAAGGATTATGACAGTTTTTGCATGCTGTTTCAGATACCCATTAAGGAAGAACGACAGGATAAGTAAGTAAGTAAGTAAGTAAGTCAGTAAGTAAGTAAGTAAGTAAGTCAGTAAGTAAGTAAGTAAGTAAGTCAGTAAGTAAGTAAGTAAGTAAGTCAGTAAGTAAGTAAGTAAGTAAGTCAGTAAGTAAGTAAGTAAGTAAGTCAGTAAGTAAGTAAGTAAGTAAGTAAGTAAGTAAGTAATCAATCAATCAATCAATCAATCAAGAAAGAAAGAAAGAAAGAAAGCATGAGAACACCTGTAGGGCTACAAGTACCAAATCCTGGTCTAAACTATCCACTTCAAAAATGTGACATGAAAGATGGCAGTGTGAATCATGTTTGCTTCATTTTGTCAAGCGTTAAAATAAACTGCCCTATAATGCTGGATAGTTATAGTGGGCAATTAAGAGTGCTGCCTTCTCTTAATTGCCCACTATTCCCAAAGCCACATCATTCAGGAAGGTCGTCTTGAGGCTCTGGGAGTGGGGGTGGGTTGCCTGGGAGAGCAGGATAAATAGCTTTCTTTCTGAGCACTTCCATAAAGTTGTGGATTGAAGCATATGATTCTGGAATGTGAAAACTACTCACTGACAATGGTATGCAGAACATATGAAAAGGTTCTCTTTAAATCCTCTATTAAAAAGGCCAATGAGATTGGAAGAAGAAATTAACCTACCTCTGCTTCTGCTGTGGATGCCTGTGGACTATAATAGTAGCTACCATCGCCCTCCACAACCATTTCACCATACTCATCATACATTCCAGAAGGAGACAACAATCGGCGACGACTTCCATATTGAGGTAATTCGTACCTGGGAAAAAAGCCAGGTACAGACATTCTCTATGTTTGTATTCATGTGAATGAAGCATATTCACAAACACACAATAATAACTCTCTTGTCACCCAGGGGTTTTTCATTTAGTTCCTTACTTATTCTAGTTATTTGTTCCTATCCAAATCCCATGTTCCTCTATCTTTTTTCCTTTTCTTATTCTTCACAAGGAACCTTCCAAATTTGGTGAGGCTGAGGAATATATATAGTAGTACAATCCAATTGTCCTTGTTTGAACCAGAATCTGGTACATTAGCGCCACTCATCTGATGGTTCTTCCAAGACTGTACCCAGTAGCTCCTTCTGGAAGCATAAGCCCTGGTCATTCCAACACAACCATTTTGCCATACATTTGCACATTGGCAAGCCAGAGACTGCATGGAACATAATGGGTAAAATATTATGTTTTACTCATGTGTCACAGGATTCTGGACTTTGCAATTGCAAAGTCATTGAAAAAATTGTTAGTGTACACACAATGAACCTGCAATAAGTCTCACCAAAGCAAGAAGAGTATTTTGGAAGACCGCTTGCTATAACAGTCATGGTTACATTGCTGGAACACCGAACCTGAGTCTAAGATTACTACTTCACATGGTACAGTGGGGTCTTGACTTAAGAACGGCTTGAGTTAAGAACATTTTGACTTAAGAACTGCTCTCATAGGAAAATATTGACTTAAGTACTTAGATTTGAGTTAAGAACTGAAAAAAAACCCACGTGGGAGGCAGGGAAAGTGCAAAAAGTGAACTTTCAGTTAACTGTTGGCCAGTGAAAAGGGTGCCTGTCTGCTTCCTCACTCCTCCCAGCGTTTAGAGAGTGGATTGGGAGACAGTCTTCGGACTGCCTGGTACTGTACTGCCTGAACTGTATTTTCCCTGCCTTCCCTGAACCTTTCTTGGGCAAGCCAGAGACTGCATGGAATATAATGGGTAAAATATTATGCTTTACTCATGTGCCACAGCATTCTGGACTTTGCAACTGCAGAGTCATTGAAAAAATTGTTAGTGTACACACAATGAACCTGCAATAAGTCTCACCAAAGCAAGAAGAGTATTTTGGAAGACCGCTTGCTATAACAGTCATGGTTACATTGCTGGAACACCGAACCTGAGTCTAAGATTACTACTTCACATGGTACCTGGGACTGCCCGTGGAAGAATCTCTAGCTGACATCCAATAGATTAGTGATAGGTTTTACACTAGTGCAGCCTTTGGAAGAATCTCTAGCTGACATCCAGTAGATTAGTGATAGGTTTTACACTAGTGCACAGAGTATCACTGTCTGCCTTAGTTCTCTGCAGATTTCTTTATACAACTACAGTAAACACCTAACCTGAGTCTAGATTATTACTGCCTTTCAGTATGTGTCTCTGTGTTGCTTTACATAGTGAGTAGCAATTGATAACATGTATGAAGAGTTCTATTTTATAAGATATGGGTGATTTTGTGCATGTGTGTCAGGAACTGGTTTCCAGATCTGTCTAAAAGAAGAAGAGACAAGCTCCATTATTCTCATGTTAATAAACCTATAGGCTAGTATCCTTTTATCCAAACATGGAATGGAAAGGGAGTTGTGTTAGCTTCCCCAACTCTCGCTCCAGCAGGCTCTCTGTTGCACAACCAGTTGCCTTAACAATCTCACAACCAGTGTGAGATCAAACACACAATAGAGAGCTTTCCAGAGTGAGAAGGGCATTTATACCACTTCCTTCCTGCTATGTTTTCAGCTGGGCATTTTAAGAATGGTAAAACTCTCTTTATGAAATTTCAGCGTGGAGGAAACCAGGCAGGCAGACAGGTCCACAGCTCTGTTCTTGAAAGAAACCACATTTAAAGCCCTTGCACATGCCCCCAAAGCAACCCGTACAATTCCAGTGATGATGCCTATGCCTGACCCAAGTAATATAACAATAAAGATGCACCATCTGTCAAGCCCTATAGACAATACAGAATGAACAATACCCATGTTCATAACTGTAGTAATCTTGCCCATAGTATTCTTGGCCAGGATCAATTCCAGACTCCATGGAGAGTTCCTGCAATTCACAAGAAAAAGAAATAAGAACATTTGGAAGGAGTACATCTGACCATAGATTGCTGACGCTAAAAAGCCCTGAATGCGGTATGTTGGGATGAGTAAGAGCAGAGGAAGAAAGATGAAAGTCGCTAGGGCCCTTTTATCCTCAACTTTTGTCACTGGAATGATAATAATAATCCCAGAGGGTTTTCTCCCTCTTGGTGCCAATGCTCAGTTGTCAGAGAAATAAAAGTACTTCTGTGGTTTTGTTCGCAATCCTCAGTTGGCACTGCAGTCAGGCAAGGGTCAATGGGATCTTAAATCAGTGCTTAATGCTATTCAGGCTCTCAAAAGCATCCAGTTGGTAGATGGTATGCATTTGGGCTGTAGGAAAAAAACAACAATGCTTTCTTTTGTGCTTTACACACAATATTCCTTGGCGTGGTGGGATTATTCTGAATGCAGTAGCTTATTTCTTGCAAAAAATTTTTGCTTTTCAACCCTGACTCCTCAAACATTATTGCTAATGTGATACCTCTTATTTAAGAGAAAGAGTGGTACATTTAGAGCACTGCATAATGAAAGTAATTGAGTAACGTGTTTTTAAGATATCAATTAATAATGTAGTTTATAATTATTATATGATTATCTTAGAGTTTATTGGTAATACTGTACTGTATTTGAAGAAAGAACAGCCACTAATAAGAAACTGATATCAGATGTATTTTAAGGCATTCTTTAACTAACTATTCCTATAACTAATTTTTTTCAGGAAAACCCAAGAATCAATTTACCGTATTTAAAATGACAGGGTGTTTTCTTTTCCAAACATTATTCTTATATACATTTCAATGCATCAGATTCACCTTTGAAACCAAGGCTGCACTTCTTATTGAAGCGAAGTTCAACCTTCCCATAGCTGCGCATTATACTAACTGCAGTTCTTTGCCCTGATCCAGTGATTGCTAGGTGCTTGGGGTTCAAATGTACACACAGATTTCGCCTTCCAGGCATAACTGCTTATTTATTTACTGAAATGGCTGCTACTTGCTGAATTGCCTTCTATGTTATAATGAATAAAGTAATGGTAGTGAAAACATCTACCTGTTAATTATGACACACACTGGGTGGAAATTGGATTGATTAAAAATTAGAAAACACTGCAGTGAGACACCATAAATGGCTGGCGTTGCTCTTTTTGTCTGGAAAAAAACACCCCGGGGTAACTCTACGTTATCTGTCATCAAGTCACTTCCAAATAATGGTACTCTTGACAAGATTTTCAAGGAATGTGAGTACTGAAGGAGTGGTTTACCATTACTACCATCACCTGTGAGTTTCCATGACCAAGCAGGAATTTGAATCCAGGTTCCCTAACGTCTTAATCTAATAGTTTAAACCACTGGTTCTTAACCTTGGGTTACTCAGGAGTTTTGGACTGCAACTACCAGAAGCCTTCACCACCAGTTGTCCTGACTGGGGTTTCTGGGATTTGCAGTTCAAAAGCATCCGAGTAACAAAGGTTAAGAACCACTGGTTTAAACCACACTGGCTCTCCAGTTCCTTTTTCCGATAATATTCAAAACATCACACAGGGTAGGCTATGTGTCTTTTTCTGATAGCACCATTTTGTGATGTGAATCTGGTAGAATTTTGTTACTAATTCCCTCAGTTTAAAGCCTGAGACCCATGGCATTAGCATCAATGAAATTGCATCAACAATGATAGTACAGGTTGCTAGTTGCTGAGCATTGCCACCCATTGTTAGGCAACTTAAAATATTTTAGCAGTGTATGGTGGACACTGTTGTTCACAGAAAACAGAATGGATGATCAAGCCCATTGCATTAATAGTTCCTGAAATATATCCTTACTACTTCACACAACAGCCATGAGTTTCTATAATGTGCTGAATCAACCAGTGACTGGCTTCCAAGATTGTTCTTGCTAGCACCTGTGAGATGTACCAGTTCTTACATTTAGAACTATGGTCCCATCTTTCTCACACTGGGGATTCTGGATCACGTCTTGGGAATATAGAATTCTGACATTACATCTATGACATCTCACAATACATGACCAGAAGACATAAAAATGAATGTATGATTTGCCTCAGGTCTTCATCACACACTTTGCTGGAAAGACCAAATAGGTTGTGTCAATTAGAAATACCATAAGCCTTCTTCACAAGTCACAATGTATCTTTAGAGTGAGAGAATGGGCACAAATGTGTGCTTTCCCACCAAAAACTGAATGCACATACTAAGAATAAAAAGGTTATCCAACTTGTGTTTCAATGAGGGTTGTTTTTTTGTAAGGAAAGCAGTACCAAATACCAGCTAACTTTAGAAGGACTAAGGGTACTGTTCATCATTCTACCAAAGTTAATGGAAGTTCTTAGAATTATTAGAGCAGAAAGGATCTAAGTCATTATCATTCAGATCCTTGAGTATAGCTTATATACTGCAGTTAACTGTGCTATTTTGAATGAAAATGGACTTGGGCAGTTTTAGTGACAGCAGAAAGGCTTTGGCAATGTGTCAACTTCAAAATCGCACGCCTGATGTCAGCAAAATGAAGTTCATGAAAGCAATTAAACAGTTAACCTCAATGCACAGATTGGTTTTTTTTTTAAACCAGTAACATATGATTCCTCTCTATATCAGTCATAAAGATACGCAGCCAGAATGGTGATGTACGAGAGAATGTATTCCATATATATAGCATGAAAGTTCTAGAACAGTAAGAAAGGATGGAAGTTTACCTCTGGTCTGAGAAGGGAAGGCCTCAGCAATTGTTGTTGCTGATAAAAGAAAATTGGAAACAAGAAGAGGTTTATGAGACCATTTTAATGGAAAAATATAAATAATTTGTTTTGAGACTGAAGGGTTACACCACAAGGACAAGATTATTATTACTTGTTTGGGACTCAACTGGTGGAAATATTGTTTAAACTTCATTTAGAGCAGTGGTTCTTAACCTTTGTTACTCGGATGTTTTTGAACTGCAACTCCCAGAAACCCCAGCCAGCACAGTTGGTGGTGAAGGCTTCTGGGAGTTGCAGTCCAAAACTCCTGAGTAACCCAAGGTTAAGAACCAGTGATTTAGAGGCATGTAAGGTTGGACTTTTTTGTCTTTTTGGTAACATTGCTTCTTCTCACATAAAAGTGCAAAATCTCAGAAAAAGTTCAACTTCACAGTATGATTATACACATTACCCTTTGCTGCCTGTAGCTTTTCAGGTTGGCCACGGCTCCTATGAGCCATAAAAGTTATTAGCCGTTAGATTACTGGTCGCCCTGGTTGCCAGTAAAATCCTTTTCTTGTTATCAGATTAATGAATACACAACACATCTCATGTAAGTTTTGGATGTGCACAAATTATAGCGTTCCCCTTCAAAATGCATGCCTGGTAACTAAACTAGAATTAGGTTTACCTTCGCACTTAGTCCTGGAATAAAAAGTCAAAATTGATACATATGATTAATGTAGTGATCATTGTGCATTTGGTATTGTGGAACCTCTCCCAAAATGTTAAAAAAACCTCTTTTTTTACTGTTATGGCACAGATCTAGCCCTCTGAGGCCATCCTTTCACTTCTGTGTGGGATCATTCATCAAATGTACGGAGAAGCCAACAGATGGGTGACTTGTGTCATGTCCTATACGAGTCATCACAATCTTCTTTCAAATATTATGTGTACTCCAGGAAAGAGATATGCGAGAAATAACATTCCTATTTTGAGGCATGGAACACCACTCATGTTATAATTATTTTTTGAAATGTAATGCTGAAGAATCATTGGAAATGTAAGGAAAATATTTCATATTACGAATTTTTGCAACAAGCAGAAGAAGAAGCCACAAATGGAATGCCTGGAAAGACTAGTCAGCACAGCTGTAGCTTTCACTAATAGGTTGTATCCAAAAGTGTGAGCAATGTAACAGGAAGTTGTGCAGAAGATAAAAGCCACAACCTGTTGCTAAAATAAATGCAGAGAGGGCATGTCTTACCTCTTGCTGTGCATATCCTCGCCTGAATTAAGAAAAAGAAAAACATGACATTAACTCAGCTTTAATGTGCATCCCACAAGCCTCATTTTCTTTAAAAGTAAAAGAAAAAAGAAAAAAGAAGAAGTAAAGATGTTACAGCACAACACTGCATGTCCTACAACACATCCCATCAAACACTGTGGAACCAGTATAAAATAATATGAGGGAATCAGTCTATGCTACATACTTAAAAGTAACCTTTCCTTAGCTTTATATCAGTTTTCCAAGTAAGAAAAACACTGGTGTCAGAGATTCAACTGTATGTAGAAAGGGAAAGGTAAGTTCACTCACATTCACTTGCTCTAAAATCTCACCAGGGAATTTGACTCTGTTTCAATTAAATGACCACACTTAAATTGAACTGCTTGCAGTTCTTCTTACACCCCTGCAGGTGGCATTGTTAAAAGAACTGTATTAATAGGCAATGAGACAGGCTTTTTCCAGTCCCGATTATCAGCTTTTGACTTGGAGGTTTGCTAGTTAAGCTGCTAAAAACAAAACAAAACAACCAACTGAAAAAAAAGAACCCACAGAGAATATTGTCCAAGAGGAGAAATTTTAAAAACAAGAAAGAAGACTCTTGGAGAGGGGCATTGGTGTGGAAATGTGTGCTCTTAATGTAAGAGACAAGAAGAGGCAAAGGCAAAGTGCTTTGTGTGTGCCCACGCACCTTGCCCTCCCCTTCGTCATCAATACAAAGCAATCACATGCTTTAAAGTTTGACAGAATTCAAATTTTAAAAAAGAAGTGTTTTCACATGGGGAGAAAAAGCTACAGATTAGGGGTGTGGCACTCCGGGTTGATTCACATTACCCATTCTATTGTTTGATGAACAGGAAAAAAAATGTGGATGACCCCACCCCAAACCCCTAACATTTCCTGCATTTTTTTTTGCTAATGTGGTCACCCTCATCCACGGCCCACTAGTAAGGAACGCAATCAGAGTGTCATTGTAAAAGAGAATAGAAGTATTAACACGCGGGCATCTCTTGGGTGAATTGAAGGAAAATAATAATCAAGATGGAAAGAAGCCAGTTGTTATGACAACAACATGTGAAAAAGCCATACATATATTTAGTACAGGAAAGCTGTCAATTTTTGTGGCCTTCTACTGCAAACTGAGTAAGCAGCACACATGTGAATCAAGTTCTAGTGTAGTCTTATATCATAGGCATCCTGAGAATATTTTTTAAAATCAGCTTCTTCCTCCCTTGAGAATACAGCAAGGTATAACTGGAGTGCCTGATAGATATCTGATAGGGTACTTTAGCACAGTGGTTCTTAACATTTGTTACTCGGATGCTTTTGAACTGCAACTCCCAGAAACCCCAGTCAGGACAGCTGGTGGTGAAGGCTTCTGGGAGTTGCAGTCCAAAACTCCTGAGTAACCCAAGGTTAAGAACCAGTGCTTTAGCATTCAACAGCAATAGAATCAGGATTCCCCCCTTTCCTTCTCCTACTGCAGCTTTTGATTAAAAACCTCAAAGTGCTGGCAGCTGAGCTGCTGAACCAATGTATGTTCAAACTGGATTCCAAATGCTCCCCATCAATGGAACTCCCAAAGTAGCTTTCTGTATGGAGGTTTGGATAGTTTATTCAAAATATTTGTTGCCTTTCTCCTTAAAAGGACCCAAGGTGGCTTACATCATTCCAAGAGAGTATTTAAGATAACAACAAGTATACAAATACTGAAAAGGATAAAACGAGTACCATACTAAAAAATATGAGCAGCAGCAAAACACAGTCAAAGCAGTAAGGTACAAGTATTTAAGATAACAACAGTGAGTATGCAAATACTGAAAAGGATAAAATGAGTACCATACTAAAAAATATAAGCAGCAGCAAAACACAGTCAAAGTAGTAAGGTACAAACCCATTAAAAAAACCCCACCACTTAGACGTCCAGTCATTAAGGGAAAGCTTGCCTAAAAAGAAAAGTCTTTCTGAAGGACAATAGCCTGACCTCCTGTGGGAGGGAGTTCCAAAGTTTGGGAGCAGCAACAGAGAAAGCCCTCCCTTGTGTGCCCACAAAACACACCGATGAAGGTGGCGGGACAAAGAGAACAACTTCTCCTGATGACCTTAACACTTAAGCAAGCCATGCCATTTTGGAAGGCAATGTGACAGAAAGCTTGTAAGCTTCTTACTCCCAGGTAAATGATTACTTGGGAGTAAGACATTTACTACTTAGTATTGTGCAAACAGGATTGGCCTGTATGAAGCTGTCACTACTTCTACCCATTTCCCCACAAACTTTCAGTCTATGCCATGCTTTCAAAGGAGCAGTGTAGGCTGTAGCTGCTGGATTGCCTGTTTTAGGGGAAAGTTAAAAGTAGAACATCTGTCTTAGAGGTGCAACGCTGTGCTTTAATGGTTACTCAAAATGTTATATTCCACTGAACCCACTAAGACTGTATAATTTTGTCAGTTTAGGCAGTTTATTATGTGATTATGGACCACTTATTTCAGTCAGTTTTAAGAGTACTTAACATCCTTTGGACTGAAGGTTTCTTGTTTTATTTAGACTTTCTATTTTTACCCTGATATAGACATATCTGAGACAGAGAAAATGCTCAAAATTATGTGAAGTTTGAACTAGTGGAAGGACGGCAGATGAAGGAAACAATTTAATTATGCCTAAGGGAAAAATAAAGAACAGTCTGGAGGATCATGTTTAATTTTTAATATTACCATCTGCAAAGCTTTTCTATTAGCATTCAGCTTGTATAGCAGATTATCAGAGGTAAATTATTGCTGTAGTGCATGCATGTGATAAGGAAGTAATGAACACCTAAAATGAAGATTTATCATCCAGATTATCAATGACTTTTCAAAGTCTAATGAGGCATTGCTCACTCCTTGATTCTCTTGTATATCACCCCAGTGCTGAGTTGCCATTTCCCTACTGAGAAGTGATATTGGGCCAAGGCAATTTGTAGGACAAAAATACTATGTGGTAAGGAAGGGAGTATCACCTTTCCTTTGCTCTTTCCTCCTTGGGCAAATGTACCCCACTGATTTCCTCTTCCATGGCCACTTGAGACTCCAGAGACTTGCTATAGCACTGTTCTAAATCTTAGGGACAAACTAGAATAAACATTTTTTTTTAAAAAAAATACAAAGTGGTCAGAAAAGAAGCAAAAGTTACTAATCAGTTTTGGTTCTCTTAATTTGCACTTAGCATCTTTGCCGTCAAGAGTCTTGGTTTCGTAGACAATCTGTATCTTTGAAAATTCAACCTAGTAATATCTTTAAAAGTCACATTTCTAGTCTTTATTGTCGTGAAGAAAACCTTGAAATGACATTGATGGTATTTGCTGAATATGCAAACATGACATGGTGGTTCTAGTGGCTGGAAAGAGAATAGGAGATCCATTTCCTGTCCATATTCAGCACTGTCTTGTTACTGGTGTATTAATATCAATCAAGCAAACACAGCAGATGGGAAAACACTTTCTATACATATCAATAACTTCCAGATATAATGAAACATTTACACAATTTGTTACATACTGTCCCTGCAATATTTTGCTTATATAGATATAAAGGGTCTCTGATTTATTAGTTATCTGAGTGATTAGATTTCTGTGTGTAAATTTTGTTTGTGTTACTTTATATATTTCAATAATGATGTTGTCAACAACCAAAAAGTTAGATCAAAATCCAAGGCAGCACACTGAATTTAGAATTAGAACATGCTACATTTATCTTGCAGTTTTGGAGATAAAGCTTTCACTATTTAAACCAGGCTTGTCCAACCTGCAGCCCAAGGGCCGCATGCGGCCCAGGTCAGCTCGTAATGCAGCCCAGTGCAATTTTTTATTTTAAAAGAAATTCCAAAGTTTCAAGTTACACTGCCGGCGCTTGCGGCTGGAATGTGGCCAGGGCATGTCACAACAGTAGAGGGGGAGAGAGAGAAGGAAGGAAGGAGTGGGAGGGGAGGGGACAGGGGCTGCATTGCGCCATCCCCGTCAATAGGTGGACCCCCTCCCGGCCCCATAAAGCCGCTGGAGTCGAAGCTGGCAGCCTCTGCTGTCTGAGATCGCAGCTACCAGTAAGCACGATTGGAGTGGGGCTGCGGAGGACGGCTAAGGCTGCCCCCCCATGCAGCCCAAACCAAATGTATGTGCGGCCCAAACCAAATTTTCATCTTCTAATGTGGCCCAGGGAAGGTGAAAGGTTGGACACCCCTGATTTAAAATCTGGAAGATACTGTCTCTCCTAATATTTGATAAAGGCAAATGCTCAGGCTTGAAGGAACATTTGTTTCTCTTTAATAATTTCCCTTCTGCTCTTGCTGTGTACCAATAAAAATAAAAATCCAGAAACCTGAATGCAGTGTGTATGCTGCAGCTATCGTTTCCTATCCTTCTATAGTATGGCTTGTAAGTTACCAGTTCTAAACGGTTAATTTGCTTTTCCAGTACTGAAGTTTGCTTAGTAAAAGATGAGGAAGGAAGTATCGAACAGAGTCTAAAAATGAATTTTAAGAAAACTTGGTTCAAGGTAGTGTAGAAAAAGCAAGCAGTCCAAGAAATGCAGCTCAGGTATCTGCAGACAAGTGTGCAGGAACTCATGGAGGAGCTGACTAATCACCATTTATTCAACGGGCCTACTTTTTTTTTGAGATTTATGATGCAACCAACAAGATTTTGGTCACACCTGCACGGACATTACATACATTCTCCCTTTGTCCAGTGTTCCTGCATGTCTGTTCCTATTTGCTACTTTTATTTTAAAAAACAACAATGAAAATCCTTTTTGTATAACACACAATGACTTAGGACTTTCTTCCATTGAAGGTATACATTCTCCAGAAGTGAAGACATTTGAGATTCATTGCTGAATGCTGAAGTTCAGCAAGTGGAAGTCTGCGTCACTTGCACTTCCTGCTTGGAGGTTGGTGCATAAAAAAGCGCTTTGTATTTAAATGTTGATGCTACACAAACCAAGATGGGGAACTGGTTCGTTCTCCAGACATTG